ATATTTACATTATTCTAAAAATAGGAGAATAAATTTATTGAAACAAAACAAGTTCAGTTGATCACTGATGACAATTCCAGAACAACGTAACTATAAACAATTTTTTCTATCCTCAGCCAGCCGCAATGATGGAGAAAGCATTACCTCGAACCATGGCCAGTGAGACACGCTGCAAGAGTCACTCCGTTTCGCGAGGCTCGTCCCTTAATCGAGACGCAATCGCACCAATCCTCCGAGGGAACGCCATCGAACGAGGGCCAATAACCCCTGAAGTCTCCACTGCCACAGGAGTAAAAAAAATCTATCAGCAAGAGAAGAATAAACTATTTTTTTCATCCCTGCGTCCCGGGCGACGGATCCTGGCTCAACCGCAGAACTGATCAAATTAATAAGTGAATCCTGCACTGATTCGAACATCCAACCCAAAAGTAAGTAGGCAAGTTGTATATCTATTATGCCAACTTTCTACTCCGCGAACAGTACGGAAAAATTACATTGCAAATACCAAGTTATGCAAAGAGCTCTAATGCTGCACTGATCCTAGGTAAATGACTGGAGAATGACAGTGGCAGATCGCACAGATACTATACTGATTTTAGACAATAATGTCTATCTATATGTAAATAATTGTCATTTTTTAAAAAAGTTTACTCTTAAGGCTCTTGAAATTTCATCGATGAAAAGCTACCAGAAACTTATAAAGTCATAACACAGCGTCATCATTAATTAATAAAAGGTACTCGACGATATTCATGATCCGAAGATGTCTTGCGTCACATAACTTATTTTATAAAAATGTACACATAAGAATACTTTGATCATTCTATGATATTGAGAAAACTAGACCACAGTGTTATCTCAGTATTCTCTTGAAGCTGTGTTAAAATTCTTGACTTTTGTTTTTTAAAAAGGTTTGAGTATTTTAAAGTTCATGACTTTCGAGAACATGAATTCGACATAATACTAATGATAAAACTTCTTTCGGGTTCGTTTTCATTCGGCTACTTATTTTCCTATTAAATGGTGCAAAGTTTTAATTGTTCATGTGATATGAACTAAACTGACAAACTATCAGTGGCATTTGATCTCACGACACTTTCATAGCTTCAAACATGACATTAATTCTTAAGCATTTGAATGTCTTTTTTATATTTTAAAACTTATGACAATTTATAAGGAGTGTTCGCTTTAACTTTAAACATAAGTTTTCTGGAGTTAAATTATATTAATGAATTATCTCGATAAAAGTCTTTGATTACAAAATAACTTTTGTTTGAAATTGTTAATTTGCAGAAGGAAAATGTATGAATAAGTTTAAAATTGTATGTGGTTCCTTTAAGTCTATATTATTTGGTGAGAATGTTTATTCAGTTGAACTGTAACGTAAACTGTTAATACATAAGCTTCAATAAGTAAGCAAAGTTAGATATATCTAATTTTTACCATTTACCCAAATATTAGAAGTAACCGACAGTGAAAATGAATATAAATAGCTAGAATACGAGATGTTACAGCATTCCGCTAATTAAATTAGCTGTTTTCCATTAAACTTGACAAAAAACCTCACACTGCTTAACAGCAAACTAGAGAGATTACCGACATGATGTACTCTTGTCAGTTTACAGCCAACTTAAAAGTAATGCTGCTTATTGAAATCTGAACTGACCACCACTATATGGGAAAACATTTTATTTATAATCTAATACTTTAAGCCAGATTTGCGATCTTTCCAATAAGACCTCCTTTATATCGATTGACTGAATTCGATTTAGCTGTAAACAAAATTCAATAGCTGAAAAGTGTTGACAAATTTCGAGGAAAATATTTTATGTCCAAACGGTCACATGTTGCAGAGGCTACAAAATGCATGAAATGATTACTTAATTTAACCTTATTAGCCTTTATTGTCACTATCCACCTATTAGTCCTGAAAAACACCAAATAAGATTAATGTCAGCCTATTTTACTATGAATTCTTATTATTTATTGTTATTAATTGTAATTTGGTAAGTAAACAAGGTTACTTGTTTTTCATAAGATCTGCTAACATTAATTTCTATTATTTTTTTAGTTACTTTATTGATTTATCTTTGTTTATTACCTGACAATTTAGTGGTTAACTTGATTTTTGCTCAGCGTTATTTTACATTCGTTTTTAAGAGATTGAAAAGCATCATTTTTTTCTAATACGAAATTCTCTTTTTCTTTCATTATCTATATATGTGGGAAAACTATGACAAAGTGGAAGACGTTTTCGTGTAACGCGTTTCATCCTTTAGGACTTCATTGGATTAAAATTACGTTTACTTTGATGCGACTAGAATCGCACGAATGAGAGAGGGATACTGAGAATTTTAAATTAATTAAGTATGTGTTTTGAGTATATAGACTATATTAGTTTTCCTTAAATTGTTCTTGATAGGTAAAAATTTATATATCTTTTTCCCATATTTATATCTCGTATATATACACCAGTATTACACACTAGATCAATGAGCATATCAGCTGAAGTGTTGTGATAAAAGCTATGGTGTCAATTTAAACAAATCACCGAGAAGACCGACCTGTTTCACTAAAGTGGGCGGGAAAACTTTTACAATTTACCACCCAACAATAGCTTGAGCTTCTTAAACAAAATTAACTGAGTGATTTAAAAACAATGTGCCTAACAATGACGTTTTATTTAAACTCATCAAGTAATTCCGTTTACAGAATGCCGTCTACATCTGCCTCTTATATCCGCTGATTCACAGTGGTGGCCTTGACTTTTTACACAACTCCTTGTGTCAACACATACACTGTCCAAATATGATTAAGTCACTTTCTTTTAATTGTTCGCGTTATTTTCATTTTCCGGTCATCACAGCCCCTTCGTAAACATAAATATATAATAGATATGCATACAGGTACCAAGTACTCCATTGTCATACCTGTGCGATCAGAATACGTCACAGAATCATACTTTTTTCGAGGAAATGATCTGATATAGATGATTGGCTATAGTTGTTTGTGGATGGTAGCCAACTTGTACGATTTCTTGTTTAACAATATTGTTCGAGTGGAAATTGCATGTATTTCCATATAAGTGAAATAATTGACAGAAATACTATTCCAAAATAATTTAAAAAAAAAAGCTTTCAGTCTTTTCGATATTATAAAAAACAACAGTAATAAACGCAGAGTATTCCTAATAAGCAACTAAAAGACCGCATAATTATTTGAGGCCTCGTGATTGTTTGCAAAAATGTAGTTTATATATCGCTTTTTTGACAACTTTATGTGCGCATATGTTTCTATTGTTTGGTTTGAAAAGCTGACACTTTAGTAAACAGCTTTTGTAAAACGTTCAGTATCAAAGTATATCAACACTACATTTGACGTAGATACATCTGTTCAGGAATTGACAATCATGAAGATGCTAAAGTATACAGACATTATAATATTGCACATACACTAGATTAGAAACATTTGTTTAAAAATAAGAAAGTAGCAACGACTGATGACAAATAATCAGTCTTTATGGGAAAAAATAATTAAGAATAATGAAATTACAAAATATTTCTGTCCGTTCGTGATAAAAAATAAAAAATAGATAACCGCCAAGTTCCTAGAGATTCGTCTATCAGGAAGCACCTCCCCACATCACAAAGCAAACCCTGAGGTCTACAGACTAACCATCACACAAAAATGTGTAGACACTACAGAAAAAAGACCGCGTCAGGCTTGTCTTTAGATGATAAATTAAAGCCTAATACCCAGAATATCGAAAAAATAATAGTCCTTCCTCTTTTTATTACACCTATCTATTTTCATCTATTTTACTTTTAACTGCTAAATTATATACAAACTGACATAATATCCGTAAAAAATGCCGGTATTATTTACGTAGGGATCGGCACTTTTGCGATGAGAATATGTGTGCGTTCTGCTAGGATCAGAGCATCGCTTCCCGGCAAAAGAGGGGGGGGGTTCCGAGTGGTTCAGCACCTTCCCAATTTTTGTCCGTGAACCCACATTAAATTGGCTATGTATCACATTCTATTCTCGTGTGGAGTTGGTTAAATATATAAATGTAGTGTCTCTGCGCTTTGTATAAAGTATTACAGAGAGCGACACATACAGAGATTTTGGCTGGTAAAATATAATAAAACTGATTTGAATTTGGACAAAGTATAATAGAAAAAAAATCGGTTTTGTGAAGAGCGTTCACACGAGAAGGAACGACAAGTTGACAGAAAAAAATTCTTCTGCGTAACAAAATATGTTTATACAAAAGAATACATAATTAGATATGGAGTAGTCTTGTACGCTAGGCGGTATATATCGCAGTCCAACATTTAAATCGACACATAAATAAAAACGTCTGGTATTCTCATTTTGCATTTGTTGAGTTACTGACTCGTTAAATCTGGGAGAAGTAAAGACTAATTTAAAATCAAAAAGTTCTTCTTTCCTTTCCTCCATCATGTTTTCAGCTGGTAACCTCATTTTGGTATTTTTTACTTACTACAATATATATATATATATATATATATATATATATATATATATAATTTTTTAGGCTCTACTTATGTATTGAGCACTGTTTTTAAAAATAAAAACAAAAATACTAAAGAACTTCAGATTATTAACCTAACGTGTTCTTTCCTATTTTTCTATATATTTGCACACATACACAAACACACATATGTATGTGTGTGTGTGTGTGTGTGTGTGTGTGTGTGACATTAATCACCAACAGATTTGATTGACTGATTCATTTTCTACGGCTTATCAACTCTTTACAGGTTATTTAAAGTCAGGAAATATTTTTAGATTTTAAGGATGGGGGATAATAATGGTCTAGTGATACAAATCTTATTAATTAACACATAACTTGGGGGAAAAGAAGTGGATTCAATCCTTTTCCAAGGGTATTTGCGTGTATGTGAATATAGCGAACCCAGCTATACGATTAACAATTCCGAGCCATTATCCATTACACTAGCCACACATTCAAGCTTACAACACCTGCTATTCTCAAGCGGTCGACCTTCTAGGTACTGACCAGGATCGACGTAGCTTAACTTCGGTGATCGTACTGGAACTGGTGTTTGAACGTGATATGGCCGTAAGCCCTATCACCAACAAAGGTGCTACGTATCTGGGGTTGGTCTAACCAGTAAAGCTTTTGTGTTCAAATTTTTATTACACTATTTTCCAAAATATATTTCAAATGCGTAAAATATATAATTAAAGATAGACATAAGTCTTTAATAATAGTCGTATTTAGAGAATATAAGCAAAATAATCAATTTAAACATTATAAAATCATGAAGAAAAAACTCAAAATAATATTTTAAAAAGTATTTAATGCAGTAATGTTTTTGTCCAATTCATTTCATTTTCTTATTGGTTTGCCGCATAGATCAAATATAACCTCGTTAGATCGAGACTTTCATACAGATGTCATACATGGCACCAAACTCGTTCAGTAATATCTAATCTTTCATCTGTATACAACCGCTTTCTCAGATCAATGATTAAAAATAGCTTTGAGCAAATGAAGCCTGTAAGATTTAATAAGGAACATTCTTCTTCGACCCCCATGGACTGGCGCTACAAAACCACAAAGATTTATAACAAATGACAGAAATCACATCACTTGAGGGCTTTCGACAACAGCAACAACTAAAATGGATATCACATATAATTCGAAGAGAAAATAATGACCTAATCAGGATGTTAACTTTTCACACTTTTTTAAATAAAAAATCAATACTGGAAAGAGTGATAATTTGAGAAACCTGAAAAATTGTTTTAGGAGAAAAATCTTATAAATTTCAACCGACAGTAGCACCAGCTACTCGGTCAATGAATGCCGAATGTTTCCTTATAAAGAAACTCCAAATATTACTATTACCAAATTCTTAAGGGGTTGGAGGTGCGTATTCTCAGTCATCAAATAAGTTTCACCATCCACGTGGTTCTGCGAACCTATTCGACACGGATAACTTCCTATTTTATATATATATATATATATATATATATATATATATATATATATATATTCGTCTCTCGAATAGCATTTACATTTGTATGTACTCATCTATGAAGATATAAATGGCAATCATAAGCCATCTCACGGAAATCGATTGTGATCAGGTCGCTTCCGGCTACTGAAACTGAACGCAAACTGACGCCGATCAAATACTCTCGAGTTACTAGGTGGGGAGGCAGACGTACACGGTTGGTTTTTCGCCCGGTGTGCTCGTCAGGTCAAATATGAGTACATGTCTTTAGCAGTTGTTTCGGCCAGTCTCACTCTCTGAAGTGAATCCATTTTTTTTCGACGGAGTTGTGTCTTCCCCGGAGGAGTTATTAAACTTTTTTGTTTAGCGTGGTAACTTGTTTCTCGCGTGATCCTAAAGCCGATCCTCGAATGTCGATGGGTAAGAAAGAAGATTTCTTCAAGACAAACGACCACTTCGGAAAAGTTAACAATAATTTGTTGACGGGGAATATTACACAAACATGCGTCATCTATACATCTAGGTAGCAAAATGGTTGAGTATTTTGAGGTCTTTGGTTTGTTTTTGTTTTTTTCTTTCTCTTAAATTCTCTCCTTGATTGCTTTGACAATTGTAGTAGCAGTCTGTTCTCGCAGTGAATCTGCAACAATCCCATTTCCTTTTGTTTCTGTGTCTGTTCCATTCACAGAAGGCGTTTGTGCTCTTGTCTTTGAACGATGTGGATTTTCTTAGCACCTTGTCTTGAGATCTTCCAGTGACTATCGAAGCCCAATGTTTCTTCGGTTTATATATCAATCCTCCTTTAGGAAACAACATTTCTATAATTTTTAGTGAGAAATACCGTATGGCTTAACATCATAGTATTAAGAATCGGTTCAGATTTCAACTCGGAAATCTAAGTAATCATTTTTCGTTATCAGACAACGAAAACTACCTCTAAGAAATTCCAAAGTTAATAACTTTTCACCAAATTCGTTCAGAGTTCATCTCTTTCTGATTCCCTCATCAACTTCATTTTATATGTATAATTTAACTTTAATACTCTGTTTCCTTTCCCACCTTCCTCCCTATTATTTAAGATATCCCTCCGGGAGTTTTCAATATTCATTTCTAATTTTTAATCACATCTAATCACCTTTTTGATTTCTCATGTACCTAAACATCGAACCAAAGATATTTACAGTGAGTTCAAAACCCTTGAATCTTTTCTTGAGTTAGTTTCAGATTTTTATTTTAACCTATTTGTGCAATGTGTAAAGAGGTTAAATTTCAATTTACAATTCGATTCGTGGTTAAAACACAGGATTACATGCTTGGATTATAACTGCATTATTGGTTTGATGAAATCCTTATGAATATTTTATAGAAAAAAATGGATAAATGACTATAAACTAAGACAACGAAAACTAAAAAAATATTACGTCAATTTATACATGGCGTCAAAAAAGAAAAAAAATAGACGGATTATTTAAGTAATTTTGCAATTGCTATCCACTTATATCAAAGACCTTATTTTGCTTTGCATTGTCTGCATTCTGTAGTCGGATTAGGTAACACGATACGAAAATATACACTTTCCTCTTTACTAAGTGAGTAACAAAGAAAACTCTCTCCCTCTCTTCTATATATTTCCTTTCCTTCCTTCTATTGTTCCTATCCTCGGTAAAAGACATGAACCTGGACTTAGTTTATGTGGGTCAGTGAATGTCATAAAAAAATCGACCAAACACGCCCCACCAAAAATCAAACGGGAAACACAGATGTGTCAGCCTCAATAAAAAGAAGAAAACCACGTATGAGACGAGGGACGTCGCAGTGGAGAGGAACATGATTCGAGGTAGCAGGTCGAGACGCAAGAGTAGGTGATTCATCGGCTGTGAGTTTCACCTGACGTACAACTCCAGAAGAGAAAAAGGATGAAAAGATGAATTCAACGAATTAATTTCCGTCAACCACAAGGAACACAACAACTCTGTATGAATTTTTAAATTCAACCATAATTCAATACTTCTTGAATAATAATTTAAGCAAAACTGAATAATGAATTGATCCTTTAACTTATATCCATGTTATAAAGTAAAACAATTATAAATGGAACTAATTCTTAATATATACATATAGGTACCTCCACGAAAACCCTAAAAAAAATCAGTATAACGTAATGAAAACATAGTTTTATCGTCAAAATCTTTATGTTATTAAGAGGAATGATCAGAGTATTTTATGAATTTTTTTTTTTTTTACTCCTTTTTAGAAAATTCCAAATTTTGATTAAAAAACTTTTTTCGTCAGCGGTTGTACTAATTTTTAGCATAGCAAATTCTAGATTCTTTTTTGCGGTGACAGACACATTGATTTGGGAAATTCTTACAAAAATCAAATAATTGTCGGATTTTAATGAAATTTTCAGGACTTATTCACAAATGAATGAAATTGTTTTTTAATTTCTTTCATTAGAAAATTTTGGTAAAAATATTTTTTTACATATGTTTCATCCCCTTGCATAATTTTATGAAAACTTGAGAAATTCAACGTGATAATTTTTTAGTGACCATATTAGTTAAAAGCCGAATGTTTTGAAGAATTTAAATCGCCAATTTTTTAAAATCGAACACGGTCTTACCGAAAATCTGTTCTGAATCGAAAAAATAAAAAATACAATAAAACTAAGATATTATTTAATTAGAGAATCTTTTAATTCCTTTTATGAAAAATATATATTAAAGACAATATTGTCTGAAGAAAAAAAATTATCGGTGAAAAATGAATTTGTACAAGATTTGTTTTCATTTTTTACAATTTTAAATTGAATAATTTATAAAGATTCTAAATCTTTTAAAATTCAGTTTTAATGTGATAACTCTTAGGAAATAGTTATTAAGTAATACTATATTTACTAATTATATATTGTAAAGCTTATTACTGCCGACCTAAAATATTTTTAAAAGAATTTCGATTTGTTTTTGTATGCGAGATATAAATGCAGAATTTCAAAGAATGGATGTACAAATCATTAGTTGTTTTAAGGGTTCTCCCCCTCTTACGGAGAAAAAAAAAACTCATAAAATTTATCGTCTGCTTCGCCATACTTAACTATAAATACATTCGGCTGTCAATAAATCGATTAACACGTCAGAAAAACAAGACCCCGGTTGTATACAACATTTTATGCTACAAGTAATATTTGTTTCAAATCAGAGTAATTTAACTTTAATTTTCTTCAAATAATATTTCAGAAATATATATTTTTGCAAGATTTTTAAAACCAAGAATTAAATTTTGTTTACAAATATGTTAAAATGGCCGTTTTTATCGATTTAATGAAAATAATCAATTCAGATCAATATAATTTGTTTGAAATACAACAGAGTATTTTGCTTACTGGAAACAGTAAATGTGAAATCCTTTAGCTTTCAATTAAAGCTAAATTGAAAGCTTCAAGAGAGCTTTTTCATTAAAAAAAATTATTTTGAACCTTACGTATACCGAATTAGTGGAGGTACCTATATACATGTTAAAAAATACCTCATTTTAAAAGTTTATTAATCTACAGAGCCAACTACAATTTCACAGTTCATTTAACAATATTTTAGTATAAATAGATGACATTTTTACTATCTGGAATGTCAATTAGATGTAGGTAAAAGTATAAAGCAATAGTTTCACACAATGTGTGTGTGTGTGTGTGTGTGTGTGTGTGTGTTGGAAATAACAATCACTAATAAAATTTATCTAAATTTTATAGCTGATGATTGAAGCAAATCATTTTGGGGGAAATATTTTAATATGAAGTTTTAAAAATTAAAGTATCATGATGAATTTACTTTTATTCCTACAAAAATGTGTTTTACACAAAGTGACACTTGAAAATAAACACTTGTCATTTTTTACTGTAAATAAAGATACATTGATATTTGGGAATCATTTGTGGTACTTGACTCAATTCAAAAGAATGATATAATAAAACTTTTGGAGTCATTTTACAAGGATAAATATAACCTAATTGATGTTTACTAAACTAAGCTTGGAATCGTGTGGCAAAGGGCCCAAACAGTTAAGCACTGAGTAAAGATCGAACACACTTAGAATACCTCACGAAATTA